GCCGGTTCCGACCCGGTTCGTGTTTTTAATTCCTTGTTTGGATGGATCACCTGGCTATGGACTTTCTTGTGTTTTTGGATTTTCCCTCTATGGATTACTTTTGGATTGTTTGCCTCGGCCACACCTCCCCCGTGCGCCAGCGCACTTTGGACACGCCCCCCTGTTTTCAGCCAAGTATTCCTGCATGACCTTTTCCTAGTGTTTCACCACTTCTTCGGATTGTGTCGTCCGCATAGGGTCCGGAAAGAACTGTACGTAACACTCGTGTCAAAAGACGTGCTTGTAATCGGCACAAAAAGGAGAAACATTCCCACAACCCTTCCCCCTGCTTGAGTCATGAAGATCACCTGGGTGCTATCTCCGTAACTGAAAGTGTCCTGTTTGCAGAAGTCCTCGTTCTTATCAACACCTGGAGTCCCAGCCTACAGAAACCAAGAAACCAGCTCTATCGGGGACAGGCCATTTCCTCGAAAGCAGGGGGTCAGACCAGCTCATGGCCTTCATAACCATGTGGTACAATACTAATCTGTTAAATCGCTGTCAGGCTGCAATGGCTGGGGCCTGCAAAATTCCAGGATGAAAAAACCTGTGTACAGCTGGATGGTTGTAACTCACTGTCTGCATGAAAATGCTCTGAGATTTATTAGGCTGCGCAGGGATACATGCCACCTTCTGTGCCACCGAACATCAGGTGGTGGCAAAAAGAACTGTGGACTTTGGACTGTGTTCTATTAATGCACACCATAATACCCTTGGCCTACTTGAAGGAAGACAGTGTGTGAGGAGTCACCTCCTTTACCACAAGACCATGTTTGCTGCAGATGAGCTGAGGGCAGCCTTACTGCTCAGTGATCCAATTATGCAAGATGCACTTAAGATGCATCTTAATCCAATAGCTTTTCTGCTCTGCCTGTAAGGCAATCGATGAGCGTCAACCTTCCAGTAGGACAATGCAAGACCACACAGTGTTGGGATGAAAATGGTGCACCCAAGGTCTAAGCTGTGCCTCGCCCTCTCTCCTAATCTGAGTCCCATGGAAAACCTGTGGAACCAATCTGCCAATGCTTCTGACAGGAGACTTCTGCAACCACCCAGCCATCATCAACAGACTGTAGCATAAAGAGTGCTGAAACATCCCACAGCAGTCTGTACAGAGGCTGATCAGGTCTGTGGGTCCTGAGTTTGCGCAGGGAGGTTACACCCTATTCTAATTCTGGAATGTTTTAATTTTGACAGGGTCATCTGGATTGCTGTTTTCTGTGACACATATTTAAAATATTTGGTTAAATTCCTAAGGCCTGAGTGGTGATGTGCGGTGCATCAGTACACTTGAAGATAAGGGAAATGTGGGAGTCTTACAGTATTTTACTCAAGAGAAAATATCAGCGAGGGAAGTTATAAAATAAATCAAATT